AGTATTAAGTGTATGACAAGGACAATGTTTTATTTCCCCTTACAATGCCAAAGTAAATTTTCAGCACCTTTAAAAATTTGATTATTTAAAAAAAAAAATTAATGAATTATGTCTATTCAGGAAATATTTTTTAGAGAAATACATTAAGATTTGCAAAATGTTTCATAGAATATTAGAGATAAATATTATGGCGTTTTATGTATTTCTAGATTCCTGACTTTTGTCACCCACACTCACATTTGTTCTGGTATACCTGTAACATACTGTAAAACGATGATTTGTCACTTTGTGTTATGTCTACCACCTTTCTGAGTTATGGTTTGATGATTATCCTGATTTTGTATTACCCCAAGAATGAAATGGTCTCTTCCTGTGATTCCAGTGACTTGTATTTGTAACAGGAAGATCGAAACAGATACTTAATGTACCTGTAGTCATTAACGTCTGACAGGGACGTAACAACAAACACTGTCCAGAATTGATTGGCTGCTGTGGGACTGTAATCATTTCAATTGAGAGAACTAAAGATGAAGAATTGAAGATTAAAATTACAAAAACATGCCTCATCAGTATTCAACAACATGCTTTGCATATCAAATCAAGGGTAGATGATCTAGGGCTTCCAGCTTCCTTGGTTATGTATTTTCACATGATGTAAAGATTTCATACATACTGTAAAATGACTAATTTTCACTGGGTTTAAATTTTACTGATTTACCATTTCAGGCATATTCAGTGGGTTTTAAATTCATGGTTTTATCATTTAGATAATGTGTTCTATGCTAAATTTTACATATTCATTGGGTTTTAATTTAGCGCATTTTTCAGTCAGCGAAATAAGCAAAATTAAAACCTGGTTAATAATTAACACCTTTACAGTATTAGACTCTTCCCTGAGTTTCCATGCAATGCTAAATAATGAAGACACTGTAATATCAACAAAGCTGGCTTTATTATACTATATTTTTAATGATGTTCCTTTAAGCTATATTTGTTATTAATGAAAACTATTTTTTTATAAACTAGACAAAAGATACTCAGAACTTCTTTTATAAAATGTCTATAGCTTCTCAAATCTATCACACACCTATTTGTATTCATCGCATTTTTGAGTTGATTCATTAAATTCTTTTTTAAATCGTGATTATGAATTAGGTTGTCAAATTCATAAAATTGTGTAAAGCATTTTTTTCTCTGTGCATTTGTAAAATGATTCCATTACATTTATTGATTTTCTCTTCGACGGCAGGTTTTAGCGTTCTTGAATGCGTCTGATTTATATACTAATGTATTGAATACTCTGAAGAATAAACATTGTACTATGTCTGAAAATTGAAGTCGTAAATCTAAAAAATGTTTCGTATGAAAAGACTAACTATGTAATCAAATACTCCAATCAAGTTTTTAAATGTTATTTGATGATCTAGGGGTCTGTAAGATCATGCTTTCCTACATCCACCCAGTTTCTACTAGAAACAGTTGCACCGACATACATACACTCAAGCAGTTTTTACAGGGGCTTGAACGTTTGAGTTGACTGTATATTTCTGTCTTGTGTGTATTTTTTGATGGTCTTACATGTACTCATATTTTCCCAGGCTGAAAAGAAATATTACAGAATAACATTATTGTCACATTCACAAGCAAAGTTTTGTGTTTGCAGAAAGTTTATCCATCTGAATTTTTAGTTGTTTTTATATGACTTTTTTTATGACACAGACACACAGGTGTATAGTCTTAGAAATATTTATTGCCAATAAAAGGGAAACTCTGCAAGAACGCTGAATACACATAATCATGTTGGTAAATGCTGAATGGTGATAGAGTTTTCCGCATATCTTTGGGTCTCATCAAGTCACAGAATTAAATACAGGATTTATTGTTTTTTTTTATCTAAAGATAGCATTTTACAAAATAAAAATTCAACATGAAGCACTGCGTCCAAAAAAAAACTATCATCTTTGCAGACTTTCTAAATTGTTAGTTGCATTTAGCATGAACCCAAAGTAAAATACTGCAATGCATGATGGGAAGTTCTTTAGACAAAAACATAATTTAGTTGTTAGAATTCGACACGTATACCTACTAATTCTCTTTCTTGTATTGTCGCAGCCAATAACTTGCCGGTGGTGCGTAATCAGACAATGATTCATGTTATGGAATGGTTGAAAGTAAATGCCCATGACACAACAAGGATTAGTGATAACCTGGATTTGATTAAGGATTTGATGGTTACCGGAATAACTGACATATGGTCAGCGATACGAAATGCATGTGTTGCCAGACTGAGCCCCATTATTGAACATTTGAAGATATCACAGATGAAAGCTTTTTTTGATGCTCTCTCCAAGGTACGTAGAAATATGGTGTTCTCTCCAAGGTATATTCAAATATATTGCTATATATTTTCCCATGTAGGTTTATATGTATCAATGCACTCTCCCAGGTATTTAATAATGATAATAATAATAATATTTATAAAGTTTTTTGAACGGCAACAAGAGCAAACAAAAAAAAATAAAGAAAACAGAAAAATCATACATATCTGAGACTGAAATTATATTTGAAAATAAATCTCATGGTGAATTCATACAACTTTCATTTCTGTGTTTACAAAGATGTTTAAGAAATGTTCGTACCTCTTTAAAAAACGATTCCTGCAATTCATTATTCATATTCCATGTAATGTCACCAAAGAGCAAATTAAACTTGAAATTCAACCCTCCTGAGAGAAAGCAATTAGTGTCTGGCATTCCTCAATATTCGAAACTATTTATGTAGGTGCATATGTATATGCATATGTACTTCAAACTAGCGACTATTTTTGTCCCCAAAACGCCAACAACCAACAGTTTAACATGTAATCAACTTTTTTTTGGACATGTTGGTCAAATTTCATTTCAACTTGATATTTACATCACACGTGGAGGGATACTGCTGCATGTCATTTTGTTTTTTTGCAATTTGATTCAAAATGGGCAACTGGGGGCTATATGTTCTCATTAAGTTTTCTACTCGTTGCTTGGATACACTTTTACGGATTTAGTTTATATTTGGTACAAAGACTAGACAAGGCATAGAGGGTTGCATGTTCTTTTCAGTTATTTTGGGATTTTGATTTAACAGATTGATCAACAAATAATAAAATCACAAAATTTTAATTTTGACTGTTTATCTGGTTACACTGAGTTGATTCATAATGGCCTACTAGTGGCCATGTTGGTTTATTTTTATGTGTAATTTGACCAATTTTGTAGGTTCGAGACATAATGGTATTCATATGCATATCCACTTTTATTAGCTCCGCTGTCGACTTTGTCGAGCAGAGCTTATCATATGAGTGATTGTCCGTCGTTTTCCGGCGTCCGTGTCAATGTTTTACTTTTTCGACTTCTTCTTGAAAACTACAAGCCTGAATGCTTTGATACTTGGTGTATATGTACCTTGGGTAGACCTCTCTCAGATTTGTTCATTTCATGATCATATCTTCAATTCTCTAATTTTGGTGAATATTTTTGTAATTTTTGGTAAAAAGTGATATTTTCGACTTCTTGTTAAAAACCACAAGTGTAATTGCTTTGATATAACATATATAGGTACTACATGTGGATCTCTCTCAGATTTGTTCATTTTGTAATGATATCTTTAGTTCTCTAATTTTAATGAATATTTTTGTCATTTTTGGTAAAAAGTGATATTTTCAACTTCTTGTTAAAAACCGCAAGTCCAATTGCTTTGATATTACATATATAGGTACTACATGTGGACCTCTCTCAGATTTGTTCATTTTGTAATGATTTCTTTAATTCTCTAATTCTCTAATTTTGGTGAATATTTTTGTCATTTTTGATAAAAAGTGATATTTTCTTCTTGCATTGATACTATGCATATTGTTCATTTTCTAATGATATCTTCTGTTCTTTAATTGAAATGTGCATTGCTAACAGCAGAGCTATCTCAGTCGAGAGGATGCTTGTTTACTTATTCATGATATGTAAGGTCATGTATTTCTTTTGCAAAAATGAGGACTGTGACATTCATGTTGTGTATTTTCCTATGTCTGATATAGATTTGTTTGAATAAAGAGAGCACGTGGCAGTCTGTGGAAGGTGCAGTAAAAGCTCTGAACGTGATAATACGTCGGTTTCAGTGGATAGGATTTCACCCATCATTGATAGGACCAGACAGTGATAAGGATGTATATTATTTAAAGGTAATTATGCAGGAAAGTGATTGACTGATTCAGTGATTTAGTTCATTAATTCATTATTTAATTAAATTGATTATTTTGTTTATTTTTGTTTTATTTTTTGGCACTCTTGTCACATGTTGTTTCACCCACACTTTCTGAGTCCATACCATTTATTTTTGAAAAGATATTAATAGCATGACTCCACTAGTCACCTGCATTACTGTGTTCAGAAGAGACATTTTTATCTCTAGTGGCAATTTACACTATGCCAGTGACAATTTACACTATGCCAGTGACAATTTACATTATGCCAGTGACAATTTACACTATGCCAGTGACAATTTACACTATGCTAGTGGCAATTTACACTATGCTAGTGACAATTTACACTATGCTAGTGACAATTTACACTATGCTAATGACAATTTACACTGTGCTAGTGACAATTTACACTATGCTAGTGGCAATTTACACTATGCTAGTGGCAATTTACACTATGCTAGTGACAATTTACACTGTGCTAGTGGCAATTTACACTATGCTAGTGGCAATTTACACTATGCTAGTGACAATTTACACTATTGCTGGTGGCAATTCACACTGTGCTAGTGGCAATTTACACTATGCTAGTGGCAATTTACACTATGCTAGTGGCAATTTACACTATGCTAGTGACAATTTACACTGTGCTAGTGACAATTTACACTGCGCTAGTGGCAATTTACACTATTGCTGGTGGCAATTCACACTATGCTAGTGGCAATTTACACTATGCTAGTGGCAATTTACACTATGCTAGTGGCAATTTACACTATGCTGGTGACAATTTACACTATGCTAGTGACAATTTACACTGCTAGTGACAATTTACACTATGCTAGTGGCAATTTACACTGTGTTAGTGGCAATTTACACTGTGCTAGTGGCAATTTACACTATGCTAGTGACAATTTACACTGCTAGTGACAATTTACACTATGCTAGTGGCAATTTACACTATGTTAGTGACAATTTACACTATGCTAGTGGCAATTTACACTATGCTAGTGGCAATTTACACTATGCTAGTGGCAATTTACACTATGCTGGTGACAATTTACACTATGCTAGTGGCAATTTACACTATGCTAGTGGCAATTTACACTATGCTAGTGGCAATTTACACTATGCTAGTGGCAATTTACACTATGCTAGTGGCAATTTACACTATGCTGGTGACAATTTACACTATGCTAGTGACAATTTACACTGTGCTAGTGACAATTTACACTGCGCTAGTGGCAATTTACACTATGTTAGTGACAATTTACACTATTGCTGGTGGCAATTCACACTGTGCTAGTGGCAATTTACTTTATGCTAGCAACATTCTACAAAATCTTGTCAGAAAAAATCATGGCATTCAAGTAAATTATTATGTACCTCATTTCATATTTGAAAAGAATAATCATCACATGCTTCATCCAATTTCAACTCCACTGGATTGATAGAAAATCTAATAAAACATATCAGGTTTAAAAGTCAGTCAGCTTTTGTGTACGTCCACAGGGAATAGATCCTTTTACATGTTCTTGAAGTAGCATTTTCTGCAATCTGTTGTATTCATAGATGTCGCTATTATTAATCACTTTTGCATCTCAATATTTGTGTTCTGTGGTTTCTGCTGCTCTTTATGGCATTTCTAAATTACTGATTTCAATTTTTTTCGCTGGGCGGTATAATGGTGTACACACAAGCTTTTATTTTTTGGTCAGCACTTTTGCGTATGTTCATTATTTTGAATTCTAACAATTTTCAACTATGTGGAATCCAATCACACACCAGATTTTAACTGCATTATTAATATTGATATTTTTCATGAAAAAATTTGTTCATAATTCTATAAAAATTACAAAATTAATAAACAATAATTATTATATTATATTGGAGCACTATGATTGCTCTCAAATAAGAGATCAGTTATGCGCGAATGTGTTGACAAAAAATGTGTTTTACCTTCTTTTTCGAGGGTGTAGGGTTCTGTGGGTATTTGAAACATTATTCTCTTAGAATTCTGACCTCACTATGAGATGACGCTCTGTTTGATCTTTAATCTTATAGTTCATCATGTTTCTCTTGTTCTCTTGTTGCAATGTTGTTCATTTCCTGGAGCTTTCTAGCATGACACACGGGACTGAAGGGTGATGATTCCGATTGGCTGCTACATTTACCTAGATCAGCTAAAATGCTTAATTAAATGTCACAATTTTTTTTACTTGTCTTAAAGTAGCAACAAGGGGAAAACAGGTTAAAAATTGATCTGTGATTCAGATATTCTCTGAAAGTTACTAAGCATGGTACTATAACAATCTATACATCATCTCAAAGCTTAGGTATAGGTGAATAAGCCAGCTAGTTTTGCAATAATATATTTTCATTGGTTTAGGAACAATGAAATTTGCTTTTACTTACAATGCATGTTGCTTTCTCATTATACATTGTATCTTTTGAGTCATGTGACCTGGATAAGGAATTTTCATTGGTTGTTAAAGTAAGCTGCTGTAGAATACATTGTTTGATGAATACAGAATTTTCTTTTGTGTTGAGTCCAATTTATTTTTTTCTGATAGGATATATGGGAAAGTTTATTTCAATTGATGTTGTTTAGCCCCAAAAAAGGATTATGGTTTCTGTGGGCATTGTATGAGCATCTGTGTTTGAAATTGTTGTCTGCAACAAAAATATTTTAATAAAGAATTAGTTAAGGCCAAGAAAAAAATATTCGTAATTTTGGTCATCTCCCACGTCAGAAAAAAGGGTTTTTGAAAGTTAGTTTTTGTCAGAATTTTAGAAAAATTCAATTTTAAGGGGGAAAAACACAGCTTTAAAAATACACAATGCACACATCTGTCTAGCCTGACATGTAGGTGTGAGTGGCGCCCTCGCCGGCCGAACGGCATCACACCCCAATAATGCCTGACAGAATAGCGTATGTCTCGTCGGCAAGATCAATACTCCATATTTGCAAAGTTCTTTCAATGAGCTTCAATGATTATTCACTGTCAAACAAATCCATGTTTGCATTGTCGGCAAAAATCAGACTGTTTTCAACAAGATGATAAACATTGGGCAGAAATTTACCAGCACCTTATCACACATTATGTCAACAAACAAATAAACTCTGCCATGAATGGTTACTCTTTGATGGCTGTCGCTTTTTGACGTTGATGCAATTTGATTAGTACCAACAAAAAATCGTTCAGGGGAAGTAAGAAACTACATTGTTCTGTCAGAATTTGTTGGATTTGGAGCACCATGTAGGGCGTAATTCTTGTGACCTTGACATTCATACAATTTTTAAAAAACAATTTTTCAGAATTTGTTTTATTTCGTCTAATTTTTCTTCTCTTTCACCTATCAACGCCAAATTGCCACGCCAAAGAAAATTATGTGCAAATTTGTAAATGTATTATTCTTTTTCTATATTTCAGTTTGGCCGTGAGGAATTAACTCAGCTTCCTGATTTTATAACCAGTAACATCCACTCCATTATATTTCCACTATTGGAACATCCTCAGCTGAGCATTCGTGAAAACTCAATAAAAGCCTTCTCATCTTTCCTCTCAAGATGTGATTTTAAGGTAAGTAAATATTGTCTTTGAAACATGTTCTCTTCTTCTTTTCACTTTTCTAGAGTTGATTCCTATCAAGGTTATTACAAAATAAATTCTGTATCAGGATTACTTAAATAGTGGGTTGCTAAAAACTTGTTATTCAATGCCACAATTTGATAGGTTGTCTGACCTATGATAAGTTAAAGCTGCCTGTACTCTGATTGGCTTATTACAATATGTTAGGTAGCCAATCAGAAGCAAGCAATTGTACACCATGTTTGCTTTATTAGTTGCAAGCACTTTATGTACGATACAGAACGTGTTTCTATGTGGGAAAATGCCATACTTCCCTGAGCATAAGCCCCTCCCCGAGTATAAGCTAGCCCACCCTCTGTTTTTAGACATTTAACAGGTTGAGGGCTTCCCCGAGTATAGGCCCAGGATATTTTTACCAAGCTTCAACAACATTTATTACAAATATGCATGTAAAAAGTGTATTTCATTGCATAATAATCGTGATTGGTACGGTAGTTTGGTTCCTGCTTTTACGAGAAAACTCGCATTAATTTCAGAGTGCATGGCCGGAGAACGTACGGAACATGGTTTGCATCTTTTCTATTCTGTTATTTACTCAGGATGAACCCCGATGTTGCAATACTGAAGTAATCAATATTTCTTTTGAGTAGTAGTTTTAGAAATGCCAAAAATGTGATCATCAAGTCGTGAAACCTGGGCATTGAACATCGTTTTACTTTTCTGAATAATCCATTGAGACTTTTGTGAATGGGATGTGAACGAGCAAAATATTCTTCGACATGACTTGTTGGCAACAGTTTAAGTACTTCCTCCAGCCTCAGTTTACCTATCGAAAATTGCAAATCAACAGCTTTAGGGAAAAAATCCTTGCTTTTTTTTGAAATCAGATCGCATTTTATCATCGTAGTAATTCACGTTCGCATTGCGTTGAAAAACTGACTTCGTCAATAATCAGAAAACTTTGTCTGTACGACACAGCATTTTGATTGGTTAACGAAAGACGTGACCTGTTAGGTCAAAGGAAGTTGTTCAGGTCAAATCACGATGAAAAACACCATGGCAGCTTTGTATCAAGAGTTTGCGTACGATCGAAAACATTCCACAATGAAGATAATGATAAAGATTTTGCCTTCGAATGTTTTCCCACAGACCCTACGCATTTTTGCACTGTAAATTCAGACGGTATGTAAACCGTATTGTAATAAAATGTGTGTATTTTTATGAACATTTTGTTTCTTCATTGTAAAAAGTGTTGTGGAAATCAAAAAGACGTAATATTTCTCCGAGACCGGCACTGTGAACGAAAAATGTAATTTGGATAATTTTTCATGGTTGGGAAGATGGTTACAATTTTTAACCCCCCAAAAAATTATTTTTTTATCTGAGGCGGTCCTCGAGTATAAGCCCACCCTTTAATTTATCTGATTTTACATGTTCAGGCCCCTGGGCTTATACTCTGGGAAGTACGATAAGTAATATTATCAATAACAAATGTAATTTTGGGTTTATATGCACTTCTATAGTGGCTGAATTTCTGTTTTGTAATGAGAATACTACTTTTTTTTTTTATTTTCTTTTTTTTTAATGAAATCCAGCAATAATGCAAACAACCATAGGAAAATCAATTAATTAACAATGTTTCATTGAATTCTTTTGCAGCAGTGTTTATTCACTGTTATTATCTAAGTAATTTTATTATCTGCTTCTCTGTTTACTTGTATTTCTTGTACTTTGAGTTTGCAAGATTTTTTTTTTTGATCTTTTGTCTGTTAGATTGTTGAGATATATAATTGGAATCAAATTCAGGAAGGGCAAATTCCCATGTCAGCAAAAACTGAAAAAGTATGAATTTGCACTGAAACCCTGAAAGTGTGAATTCTGAAAATGAGAACTGTGAATTATAAAACCATTGCCTGTCATCGCTAAACACAATTTTATGTTACTGATAAGCCCAAGATATGGCAAGTTGCTGATCAGAAAAAAATTTGCATCTTAAAAAAAATATTATTGACAGTTCCTATACAAAACATCTAGGTTCTGAACAGTGGAGTAAATCATTTTTTTTTTTACTACCAGTAAGACATTTTTCTCATTGGTGATTGAAAGCTTAAAGCTTGACTGAGAATACCCTCAAACTTTGATTTTTGATGTGACTAGTTATAATTCCTAGTATTGTGTATTAAGATCATTCTCTAATTTTGATGAATATTTTTGTCATTTTTGGTAAAAAGTGATATTTTCGACTTCTTGCTGAAAACCGCACGTCTGATTGCTTTGATATAATATATAGAGGTACTAAATGTGGATCGCTCTCAGAATCTCTAATTTTGATGGATATTTTTGGTAAAAAGTGATATTTTTGACTTCTTGTTAAAAACGCAGTCTGATTGCTCTTATATTATACATATAGGTACTTCAGGTAGACCTCTCTCAAATTTTTTCATTATGTGATGATATCTTCAATTCACTGATTTTGATGAATATTTTTGTCATTTTTGGTAAAAAGTGATATTTTCAAATTGCTTGTTTAATTTGTTCTCATTTATTTGATAGAGCCTTTCTCTCATGACTTTGTCATGTTTTTAAATTTGTTCTTGACTAGTAAACCATGTTTTAATCACACATGAGATAGCCTGCTGCTTTTTTGAGTGCCTTCTCTCTCGGGAAAATGTCAGCCTACAATAAAATGTGATGAATTATCTCAGCCAGTGTTGGATTTTTATTACGCAAACTGTGTTGTAATCATTTTCTATTACGTTACAAATCTAATGACTGCATGTTTTTATGATTCTTACTAAAACTAGTTGAGTACTAATTCTTGCTGTCAAAATTTAACTTTTTTGTCAGCACTCTCATTGCCATAGCAACCTGTGGTCTATGATTTAATCTTAGATCACTGTCCGATTTTGTGTCAGGAAATCTGAAATTCGTATGTTCATATATGGAAAAATTCATAATATTTTATGCATTTAATATTGAAACCTGTTTTTAGAAAAAAAAATTGAAATAGTGGAAATGAATATGATTATCGATACTACTAGTAATCAATTTTTTTTTTTGGAGACTTTAAAAGATGAGTTAACTAACAAGTCTCGCACTAAGACCAAATCACCAATTAATCTCCTTGAGGGCGCTCTCCAGCACTGCCCCCTAAATTGACACAGAAACAAAAAAATTCAACGTTATGGGGCATTTAATTTTGGATTGGCAATTAAATTGAGCCATCATTGGCTGTAAAAAAAAATAATTTGCAATAATCATGCTAACCTTATTATTATAGATCTTTTTCTGCTTGTTATAATAATTCAATGGCGATCAAAAACAGCCTGAAATGCTAACAGGAAATATTTCAGGCTGAGAAAAGTTGCTTCTGCATCCAATCCAAGAACGAATGAATATACCCTTTAAAGCAAATACATCAAAATAGCAGTTTCTGTCACCTTTCACAAAATAAACCATAAAATAATCATAGGTCCTAATTTTTTCCCAAAGAAATTTGATCTACACCTGTAGCTAATGTGAAATTATGTCAATTTGGTTCAAAATTACCAAAAATACATGAAAATCTTCCAAACTTGCACCAACATTTGGATGGAAAAAATCTCTAAATCTTGTTTCTAAAAATAAATTGATACAAACTTGAACTCTTTGATCAAAACCTATAACTACAATGTACATGTATCTGCTCTGTCCTTTTCAGTCTATTTGCTCCAAAATCAATATATTATTCAAAGAAACTAGCAAACCTTTTCACACACAAATTTGGCTGGAAAATGTTTTTTTTTTTATAGAAAATATTGATACACCATACATTACGATACAAAAACATGTTAACATTGACTTGATAAGAAATCCAAAGACACTGCAACAATCACTATACAGCTCAATGAAATATGCAAGCTTTTATGCAGTGGTACGCACCGCCAAAGGTTAATGCTTTCTTTTGTTAACTGACTAACACAGATATGATGCTGAACCAAGTTGATCAGTATTCCCACTCAGTTATTTTTTATTGATTTAAACTTCTCTGACCCTTTTTACTTACAGTTGTTTGTTTTTTCACCCACATTTCAGTTTTAATTTGTTGACGACTGAGCTCATTCTGTGTCTGATACTGTTAACCGTTTAATTTACGCTGCTTGCAATATTCATGAATTGATTTGGTATCAATGACGATAACATTTTGCAAAACTCGCCTTGTTTATTTACGACCACGGTGTATGGAGCATATGTAAAAAATAAAATTAAAAAAAAATACAAACACTATTGTCAAAACTAATAATGCTATAACAGTTGTATTTAATTCTATTAAATTAGGTTGGGGGTTTTAATCATGACCTATGTTTTTGAATATTCATCTTTATTGTAATTTCCAAGTCAATATCCAAATAAGGATATGATTATGCAATAAAAATTATTATTATTATTACTATAACTACTGTATTTTACTAAATGAATGTGCATACATTGCAGTAATTGTGGCATTATTGTATATTGCAGGAAGCGTTGTCATCATTCCAAGAAGTCGTGAGTTTACTGTGTAAAGGGGCAATATTAGAATACAAGTCAGATAACATTGTGTCATCTGCATTGAATGACTTACCACACCTTGCTGTTATGAGACCTGATTATAAATTTCTTGATGCTTACCATGCAGAAGGTTTACTGGGTGTCTGTATATTTCTTGTTAAGGTAAGACACTATCTGGGTGGGAAAGGGTTGATAGGTTTTTTGTGGGGTGAGTTGGGTTGGGTAAACTTTCTTGATGCTTACCATGCTGAAAGTTTAAGAAACTGTCGGTGGGAATTGGGTTTTTTATGGGGTAAGTTGAACTGATTATAAATTCCTTGATGCTTACCGTGCTGGAGGCTCACTTGGTGTCTGTATATTTCTTGTTAAAGTAAGACACTATCTGGGTGGGAAAGGGTTGATAGGTTTTTTGTGGGGTGAGTTTGGTTAACTTTCTTGATGCTTACCATGCTGAAAGTTTAAGAAACTGTCGGTGGGAATTGGGTTTGTTATGGGGTAAGTTGAGCTGATTATAAATTCCTTGATGCTTACCATGCAGATGGCTTACTGGGTGTCTGTATATTTCTTGTTAAGGTAAGACACTATCTGGGTTGGAAAGTTGGGTTGATAGGTTTTTTGTGGGGTGAGTTGGGTTGGGTAAACTTCTTGATGCTTACCATGATGAAAGTTTAAGAAACTGTCGGTGGGAATTGGGTTTGTTATGGGGTAAGTTGAGCTGATTATAAACTCCTTGATGCTTACCATGCAGAAGGTTTACTGGGTGTCTGTATATTTCTTGTTAAGGTAAGACACTATCTGGGTGGGAAAGGGTTGATAGGTTTTTTGTGGGGTGAGTTGGGTTGGGTAAACTTCTTGATGCTTACCATGATGAAAGTTGAAGAAAGGTTTACTTGGTGTCTGTATATTTCTTGTTAAAGTAAGACAATATCTGGGTGGGAAAGGGTTGATTGTTTTTTTGTGGGTTGAGTTGGGTATACTTTCTTGATACTTACCATGCAGAAGGTTTACTGGGTGTCTGTATATTTCTTGTTAAGGTAAGACACTATCTGGGTTGGAAAGTTGGGTATACTTCCTTGATGCTTAGCATGCTGAAAGTTTTAGAAACTATCGATGGGAATTGGGTTTGTTATGGGGTAAGTTGACCTGATTATAAATTCCTTGATGCTTACCATGCAGAAGGTTTACTGGGTGTCTGTATATTTCTTGTTAAGGTAAGACACTATCTGGGTGGGAAAGTTGGGTATACTTCCTTGATGCTTTAGCATGCTGAAAGTTTGAGAAAGTATCGATGGGAATTGGGTTTTTTATGGGGTAAGTTGACCTGATTATAAATTCCTTGATGTTTACCGTGCTGGAGGCTTACTGGGTGTCTGTATATTTCTTGTTAAGGTAAGACACTATCAGGGTGGGAAAGAGTTGATAGGTTTTTTGTGGGGTGAGTTGGGTTGGGTAAACTTTCTTGATGCTTACCATGCTGAAAGTTTAAGAAACTATCGATGGGAATTGGGTTTGTTATGGGGTAAGTTGAGCTGATTATAAATTCCTTGATGCTTACCGTGCTGGAGGCTTACTGGGTGTCTGTATATTTCTTGTTAAGGTAAGACACTATCTGGTTGGGAAAGGGTTGATAGGTTTTTTGTGGGGTGAGTTGGGTTGGGTAAACTTTCTTGATGCTTACCATGCTGAAAGTTTAAGAAACTGTCGGTGGGAATTGGGTTTGTTATGGGGTAAGTTGAGCTGATTATAAACTCCTTGATGCTTACCGTGCTGGAGGCTTACTAGGTGTCTGTATATTTCTTGTTAAGGTAAGACACTATCTGGGTGGGAAAGGGTTGATAGGTTTTTTGTGGGGTGAGTTGGGTTGGGTAAACTTCTTGATGCTTACCATGATGAAAGTTGAAGAAAGGTTTACTTGGTGTCTGTATATTTCTTGTTAAAGTAAGACAATATCTGGGTGGGAAAGGGTTGATTGTTTTTTTGTGGGTTGAGTTGGGTATACTTTCTTGATACTTACCATGCTGAAGATTTACTGGGTGTCTGTGTTTCTTAAGGTAAGAAACTGTGGTATAAGTAATTAGAATGGTGTTTAATAAGTTAAATGAGTTTTTGAAGGGAAAATGAGTTTGGTTTTGAAAACGGCAATTATTTGGTATTTAGAGGGAAAAGAAGGTAGGTTTTTGGAGAAGAAATGAGTTTGGTTTCTAGAAGGAAAATAAGTCAGGTTTTTTGAGAAGAAATGAGTTGGGTTTTCAAGGGTGCAATAATTTGGGTATTTAGAAGGAAAATTAGTTGGATTTTTGGAGGAAAAGGAGAAGGAAAATGAATTGTGTTTTTGGAGCTTATATAAGTTATTATAAGTATAATTGTAAAGTTGATTATTTCCTCAGCATGTTCATAAACAATAACTATTTGATTTTTTTCTGTTTTCAGCAAATTTCTCCAGGATATTTACTACCACAATGGCCTTTGTACTTTTCAACGTTCAGTTTATACTTATCACATCCAGCGTCTACTGTAAGACAAGCCACTAGCGCAGTCTTCAAATATATTGGTGAGTACAATACGATAGATGTTACAATTTGCATAAACGCCATAATTGCCTGATACTGTAAATAATTTGAATGATGTGACAATTTAATGGCGTGATTCTTTATCTTTCTCAAAACGAAAGTGGTTTTCAGACATTTTGAGATGCACAGTATTGTATGTAAATGTATAGAAACGGGTGACTAGTACAATAGTAACATATTATTAGTAGCACATGTGCTGATAGGGTGTATCTATAGTAAAAATAAGTCAAGTTTTAATGATCTAGCAAACTATGAATGCAATAGAGAAAATATGGTATGTAAGATTTGTGTTTTGACTCGCATGACCTTTCACCTATCTGCTTTACTTCTGTGTCATAGCAACGCTTTGTTTCCATAGAGGGTGTGATTTATTGAAAAATTGTATTGAGTAATATTTTTTTTTCATAACTGAATATTTGATTGTTATTGCATTTTTCAGTTGCTAAAGATAGTAATAACCCAAGTCTGCTTAAACTCGTACTGCAAGGACTGTGTGCTGAGTGGTCTATTGATATGCTATTATTAACGCAGCAAGTCAATTACCGCTCATTTTACAAATCTGTTGTTGGTGCGGATAGTTCAGATCATGAGGAGAAACTTCTTCCTATTGCTAGGCGACGATCATCTGAAAGCCACGATAGTGCTCGTGAAAATGATTCAACCTCGCCATCCCAAGGACTGCTTTCTAAAACTCGACGACTCAGTATTAAGAAAGTTAACACTCTAGTTGGTTCTGGAGACCAGGCTTGTAAGTTATTTTGTGTCTTTTTTTGACATAATCTGTATAATGGACTTATGTTTTTTTCTTATTTTATCTGTCTTGTTTGTTTGTGCATGCATGCATCTGACATAATTTCTTGGATATACATCGTGATGATGTTATTTGACCAACTGGGGATAATTTTTGTCAAAAATCTCATTAATTGTTTATTTTGTTCAAACTTGGTATTGACATCACTCATGGTGATGCATATCATTTTGTTTTGTTATTTCACTGAAAAATCGACACCCTCCACCCAATTGTTCTACCCATTTGTCTAGTACAGTTTTGTATTTTGGTTTTAAGGGCAGTAATCGGTTGCTTATTCTTTTCTGTTATTTTGGGGTTTTAATAATATCAAATCATTTCTCTGACTCACTTGATCAGTTTTGTATAAATTTGTTATCAAGGCAAAACACGATGGGTTTCATATTCATACCTATTTGTTGTTTTTTTTGTGCTCTGACCAAATTTCTGCGACATCTCTTCTCTTTTGTGTTCTCAAATGTCATTTCATCCAAACACGGCAGGGACTATGTCATCGACAGTGACTTATTTTTCATATTCTTTGTTTTTCCGTTATTCATATAATGTCATTGTTGCTCGCATAGTACCCTACTATTTGAAAATTTATTAATATCAAAGAGGTAAATGTATACACAGACATACAGAGAAATATTTCATTTAAACTTTGCTGCATAATAAGTCCCTTGATGTCTAAACTGGTCAAATTTATTATAAATGGGCGTTGATAAAAAATGAAGAAGGGATTACTGATAGAATGATACTCTTAATGCTGAAATTTACACAGCTTACACCAAAGACATTTATAACTTGAACTATCTCATGTTTTATTTTCCGCAGACACCACAGCTGATGGCATCATTGCGAGGTCCTGGGAATGGAGAGAAGGGCGACTCTTTGCATATGAGCTGATTATTAAGTTTCTGATCATCAACCATATCCACTATTTATTTCCATCTTACGCACTACCACCTCATAAATTTGACGGTATGGCATCAACCGATGACACATTGACTACAAGGTACAAATATTCAGATTCAGTTCTTGTCTTGAGTGTTTGAATGATGTATAATCTGAGATTTTTATAAAAATGCTTTCAGACGAGTTTCTGTAGTTATAGTTATAGCTGTTGATCGTGATAGATCAGTGGTTTGAACACCTTGTTTGTTTTTTTCTTTGCTTGAAACATAGTCACATACCAAGACTGTTTTGTATTGAATTGTGTACTTGTACTGTATTTGCTCTATTTGAAATGCATTTCAACTAGAAGTGTATATAAATAAAAACAAATTGTTTATTGTATACTAAATAGACCATTTTCCGTACACTGCGAGAATCACGCGTTATGCGTGAAATCGAACGTAAAAACAGGACAAACAAAGGTCGTAGTGGCGTCAAACATCGCGTGGGATTCGACAAACGCGAAAGTATTTTGGGGACATTTCCATGCTTAATAATGTGCTGTCCACGTTTGATGATAGGCAATTACGATTAAGTAAGGGTATTCGGAAGCAATATTCCTCTGTCGAAGATCGGCCGGTCGGTGTGAGCTACGAAATAAGGAAATTCGAGTTCAAAATCAAATCGTTTGATTTTTGCGGCAGATGTTCGACGCGCGTCTTTCATGCATCTCGCGAGATCTCGCAATTGTACGGAAAATCACCTATTACTAATTACTTATTTTTACCGCAGCAACACCTCTGTAATTTACATGAGCGCATGTGCTACTCATAGAGCAAATACATATGTGTAAGTGAACCTAACAATTTTGTGAATGTCTGTCATGCAGCCATCAGAACAGAATGATAGATTCAAGACAAGGCACACGAAGTCAAAGCCATGGCGCTGCTACATTACATAAAGTGTTTCAAACGC